AAAAAAAAAAAAAAAAAAAAAGAAAGAAAAAAAGAAAAGAGAAATGACAATGCAAATGTCACATGGCAAGGGTTTGAAATAGAAAGCTCCTAGCTAAAGCAAGTAACTTGGGGGCATGTTGGGTAATTTTGAGCCTTTAATTCCCATTCTTTTCATAAAACCTTAACCAAACCCCATTACAACCCAAGGAAAAGTCCTTTTGAGAGTTTTGAAGCTTTAGATATCGAAATGATGGCAATCATTAGACTAAGAATAGCAAATCATGATCAAATTCAAGAACTAATAGATTCAATGATGAGAGACCATGTTTGTTTATCCTAACCACTTTACATTGTCCTTAGCCACCCCTTTTGAGCCTTAAGAAAAGGCAATCATCCAAATTATAAGAGCCGAGATGATTTTCTTGTCAATTTACCTACATCATGAACCGGGGAAGTGAAGAGTGATTGTGAAGGGGAAATACTTACGGCAATAGATTTTGAGCCTTTATATCCTTCTTTTTGATAACTTAACCCAAAGCCACATTACAAGCCAATAAAAGTCCTTATCAAAGAATTTAACAGTTTTTAGTCTGATCATGAATTTCCTTCACAGAAAAAAAAAAAAAATCCTTTCTCTAACGAGTCCAAGCTAGTTAGCTTGATGGTTTATGATTGGTCTTCTAAACATTGAAGGTTAGTTCATGGGAAGGAGATAGATTTGATTTGTCCACCTTGGCATGGAAGTAGACATTGTCTCATATGCTAAAGACTGGATTGGTGGAGTTGCAGAAGAAATAAATTCTTGAAGCAAATACTTTATAGCCTGAATGCCTTTTAGCTTTGTTAAAATTGTTGCATCAAAAGTTGTGCAACTCAAAAATCATGTTTATCTCTTTCTATCCATACATATTATCCATGCCCTAGCCTTCTTTTCCTTGTTTAGATTGGGAGGCTGATTGGTTATGATGCTTTATTTCAGTTAATATAATTGTTGAAATCTCTTGAAAAAAAAAATGAGATGAGAGTTGCAGAGAAAAGCAAAAGCTTGATTCAACGGTCATGGTGCTTATCCTATCTTGTAATGATTCGAGAATTTTCCCCAGTGAACTAGAGATGTTCCCAAGTCACTGAACTTTATGCAAAACATGTCATCAAGCCTATTAACGGATGCACAACACAGAGGACACTGGACTCTTGCCAAATATGGGTATCCAATATGTTCAGGGAAGTTTCTTAACCTCTCTTCTTTGTTCAAAAACCATTTTCTCATTCGGTTAAAAAAAAAAAGAAAAAAACTGTTTCTTGCATAGGTTAAAAAACCATTTTCTCACTTGGTTAAAAAAACCGTTTCTTGCTTGGTTCAAAAACCATTTCTCTCTCGGTCAAAAAACCATTTCTCTCTCGGTTAAAACACCGTTTCTTACTTGGTTAAAAAACCATTTCTTGCTCGGTCGTTTGACTGTAACAACTTGACTCACGCGGTTAAGAAAAACCGTTTCTACTCGGTTAAAAAACCGTTTCTTGCTTGGTTCAAAAACCATTTTTCCCTCGGTTAAAAAATCATTTCTTGCTTGGTTCAAAAACCATTTCTACTCGGTTAAAAAACC